ATTTGTTCGGCAAGGACGACGCAGTTCTGGCAATTCCAAACTGTAAACGTGGAGAATAAGATGAGAAAAAAAAAAGGCTCAAACATCCATAGGCTTTGTTACAAATGTGACGAAAGGTTTTTATACGTATTCCAAGAGGTACCTTGTTAAAATCGCTGACACCATAAATGCCGTTCAGACCATTAGGTTCATAAGGTTTTTGTGTCGCATGATTGTGGTAAGACATCAAATTTTCATATTCACAAACACTTTCTTCTGGTTGCCTTTTTGCCACAAATAGAGCCGTTTTTTCTTAGAATTTCATTTCGAATCATTGACAGCTTTGCCGTGGAATGTGTTCAGTCACGATTTTTCTTTTTCGCTCTCAGCTACTTTCGTTCACTGTATAGTGGAGAAGGTCTTCGGAGAATGCGAATGGGAGTTCGATAACTGAACAAGCTTATCAGCTGAATAAACTCAAATTAACTACACAAACAAATTCTTTCTGGCTTTCAAAAGTCATTTTTCGTCATGAGTGCTCTGATGATAAAAATACAGTCAGAGATTCATTAAAATGATAAAACAGTTCGAAAACGCAGCTTCATAAGTCTAGAAGCTGAATGAGAGCGCGCATTTTGCAATAACAGGAGTACAAATTATAGGCATTTCGTATGAAAAAGTGTTCAATTGGTTATTCGCTTTGACAAAATCGAGATGGTTCAGCGATAGGAGTGTTTTGAACATCATATTCAGACACTCACAAAATGCATGTATTTCAATAATACGTTGCCACAACATCATCAAAAACTCAACAACGCATCACAAACCTATAATTGAGCAAAAACACTTCGTCATAATTCATCATTTGGTGAATTATGAGAAAATATTTTTGTCTTTTCCATAACTTTTTTGTGTCTTTTCATAATCTCAAAAAACTGTCCACAGCATTGTACACAGCATGTACATCCCACAAACGTAACCAAAGAGCAATCCTTACAACCAGCTTTGCTAACAATGAGCATCATAAGAAAGTCATCAACTAAGCCATGAACACAATCATCGCAATTCAGCGTGCCACACAAAAACTTCAGACTGCTTTTCTCTTGCACACTGCTCAACTGTGAATGTCGGTTATCAGTTACTGAATAATTGCACGTTTGCTTTTATCTTTTTGCTTGCTGTTCATAATGGTAGGACAAACCTGATTGATGCAATGTCCTGCTGAGAATTTACCTCTTGTCATTTTTAGAATTTCAGTGTGATCAGGTCATTTTCACTTAAATTGACAACAGCATGGGTCATCATTAACTGGATTGCTGTGTAATCATAACTCTCCTAGTTGAGTTAGCTGATTTGCATAATGGCGAAAAATTTCGGAACTTCATGCATCACATGAACAAATGTCGAAGATCGCTCACGAAGGTTCTTCGGGAATCTAGAAATGGATAGCAATATGGTGATTTCCACGGTGACCAAATGAGCAAGGCTTCACGGATTTTAATCTCATTGCGGCTTTATGTCAGAAACAAATAAAAAATAAATCTAATTTCAGTGGTTTAGGCGAAGCTGTCACCACTTGAGCTTTTTACATCTGATCTTGACAACAAAAGAATAAAACGAATGTCGAAATATCAGGCGATGATAAAGGAGAGTGATGGTTTAGTTGCGTCAAAAGATACTGTTGNGGTGATCCACAGTTCAAATGTTTGCACCGCCGAACTCCCGAAAGTTTGCGTCTGCATTTGATCTACATGCAAAAATGAGGTGCTTAGTTTTCCTGATCGGGATTGAATGACCTTCCTTGTATGCAGTAATCAGTTTTGGCGTTCCTAAACAACTGTTACGAACTATGATTCCAAAAAGCACAAGTGTTAAAAACAGTGAATATAATCCGTTGAATAAAATCATCAGTCGATCTGTAGTTGCACAGCTTCTCTGGCAGCATTCATGATGAATCGTACACTTCTCGTAACGGTGCTCATCTCGTCTTATCTCATTTGCCGCGGTAAAATCATTTTGCTTGATTTTGCTTTCATTTACACAATCATTATTGGATATTAATTTGATGTCAAAATCTTGAACTTATTAGGAATTATAAAAGAAAATTTCAGTATGTACGGGCAAGCCAATATCAAACGTAAGGCCAACAGGAAATGATGAAAGTGTGAAGGACTTTGACTTAGCTGATGCTTTGAAGCCTGGTAGGTTCGAGGAAAAGAAGAAGATTGAGTTACCGAAAGTATCAGGAGTAGAAGACAGTGGATCACTGAACTTAGAAGACGTTCTCACAGATGAACAAAAGTCGAACATGCGTTTTGAAGAAGCGTAAGTCTGAAGTTCACTGATTCCAATATCTTGCCTTATGGCTGTCATTACATTGCATCAT